GACCCAAACAACTACGAAGTTGTATGCCTCGAGTAGAATCTCGGCTAGGCTGCGAAGCCTACGACTATGAAGTCGACCCAAACAACTACGAAGTTGCATGCCTCGAGTGGAATCTCGGCTAGGCTGCGAAGCCTACGATTATGAAGTCGACCTAAAACAATAAAAGTTGTGCCCCAACTACGGCATAAATAGGAATTAACGCACAAGGGGTCGGGAGAAGTCGACCCGACAAATTTCACCTTGAGATCGAAGAGGGTGACGGACGGCAGTTGCCGCGATCTTTGCACGTAATCCATCTTAAGCGTTTTTATGCCTAATAGTATTTTGAACTCTTTCGTACTAAGAAACACTTAAGCAAATTTAGTAATGCAATGGTTCCCAAGTTTACGTTCAGAATTGTGTTTTTTCATTTTCATATCAACATTATGATTACTCGAAAAAAAATCAAATTTTTCAAAACGGCCATAAGGCCGACTAACTTCAACAACTATGAAGTCGATCTACACGGCCACAAAGTTGTGCGCCTCAAGCGGAATCTCGACAAAAGGCTATGAAGCCTGCAACTACGAAGTCGAATTGACGCAGCTACGGAGTTATGTACCTTGAATGGAGTCTAGATTAAGCTACGAAGCTGCTAAAAATCATTGCTCGTCTTCGACCAACTCCCAAGCAGGGTTGGGAGAAGACGAGTCAAAAAACTATGGTTTATCAGCTATGAAGCTGCAAAAAATCATTGTTCGTCTTCGACCAGCTCGCAAGCAGGGTTGGGAGAAAACGAGTCAGAAAACTTTAGGGTTTATCAGCTATGAAGCTGCTAAAAATCATTGCTCGTCTTCGACCAGCTCGCAAGCAGGGTTGGGAGAAGACGAGTCGAAAAACTTTATGGTTTATCAGCTATGAAGCTGCTAAAAATCATTGCTCGTCTTCGACCAGCTCGCAAGCAGGGTTGGGAGAAGACGAGTCGAAAAGCTTTATGGCTTATCAGCTATGAAGCTGCTAATATCGTTGCTCGTCTTCGACCAGCTCGCAAGAGGGGTGGGGAGGAGGTATAGCACGGCGTAGAGAAAAAGCTTGTGAAATATTCAAGAGCTCACAATAACACAAAAAGGAAACTGAAAAATCGATAAAATACGAACAAATGACAAAGAAAAGATAGCATTATAATTAAAAAGACGTCCGAATACATACGAAAGCCACTTCGATCTTTACAGCCCAGGAAAATAGATCGAGTATGGCAACAAGAAAAAACAAATAACAAGCTTCAAAACAAACAAACATTTAATTTTGTCGAGAATCAGCAGTTGATTTTTCACCAAGATCGACATCCCCACCTCCATCAGCCACAGGCTCGGTCCTAGCATCCTCGTCACCCAAAGGCTCAGTCCCGCCAACCGCCTCCTCGACCGCTGGCCCCGTTCTAGGCTCCTCGACTTCCCTCTCTTCATCGACCTCTTCCTCTTCTTCTTCGTCATCCGCCCCACTCGGCTCGACCAAATTGACTGGGCCGGCCAGAGGGGTGGGGGGAACCTCGAGCTGGGTGCCCAGCTTAGCCTTTCGGATCGCTCGAGCCTCAAGACCCGTCCACCATGGATAGTCGTCGGGAAGCGACGTATCACCGTGATAGCCGGCCGGAAGAGGAAGAGACTCTTTCAGTGCCTGACGGTCGACCTTGCCCTCCAGAGAAGTGCCTCTCGAAACCGACTCCCACGCGTCAAATGTAAAGTTGAAGTACTGAAGGGTCGCAGGGCACAGTTTCTCGAGGAAGTCAGGGGAGTTGCA